GACCTGAGCCGCGGGGACCGGGCCGGGCCGGAGCCGACCCGGGCCGCGCCGCGGGGGCCGAGCCGAGCCGGAGCTGGGCCGCGGGGGCCGGGCTGGAGCCAAGCCGGGCCAGAGCCGCTGGGGCCTGCGGGAATGGGCTGCGCCTCCCCGGAGCCCTTCTCCCGCCCCCACCACCCCAGCTTACCTTGTGCTGCCGGCCCGCCCCTGCTTCTTTTCAGACTTCCCGCCAGGGGAGGGGGCGGGGTGTTCAGGGGAGGGGAGGAGGGGCCGGGGAAGTGAGCTGGGGGCGGGGTGGACAGCTGCAGCGCGGGGCCCTCTTGGCGCGGGGCCCAATTCAGCCGAATCGGCTGAATCGGCCTAAAGCTGGCCCTGCTGCCTGGTGGGTCTTGCCCACATGCTCAGGGTCTAACTGATCTGGGGTCGGGAAGGAATTTTCCCCTCGGTCAGATTGGCAGAAGCCCAGAGGGTTTTTCGCCTTCCTCTGCAGCATGGAGCACGGGGCACTTGCACATTTAAACTAGTGTAAATGGTGGATTCTCTGTAACTTGAAGCCTTTAAACCATAATTTGAGGACTTCAGTAACTCATCCAAAGGTGAGGGGCCTATTACAGGGACGGGTAGGCGAGGTTCTGTGGCCTGCAAGTGCAGGAGGTCAGGCTAGATGATCATGATGGTCCCCTCTGGCCTTCAAGTCTGAGTCTATGAATCTAAGACTCATTATTTATTTAATCCTGCCTGAGTTCCTCCCTCAAGAAGACAGACACCACTCAAAAAAGAAGGTCCCTCGGAAAAAGCAGACTAGACGCTTCACGCAAAACAGAGGAGCTGAACCGGTGCAACTCCTTAACACACCAGCCGTGCAGCGACACCTGGTTCAAGACGCACCCAGTCAGCCAAATCCAGACCCAGAGTAAACGGGAGTCTTGCTGGTGTGGCACCTGGCCTGAATTTGGGCCTATATTTCTGACACTGGGAAACTGGCTCTTAAAGGAAGGCAGTAACGTAACAGCAGATGAATGAGCGATGTCGAATCTGAGTACAGAGGAAACCCCGATAAAATGATTTAAAATGTGTCTTAAGCAGAGTCCCACAGGAAGCTGCTGTGTTGCCAGTCTGATGATCCAGGATTCAGGGACTCAGGTGACTGGGTGAAAGTCACCACTGTGCAGAGGACCAGCCTGATGCACAGATCAGCTCCTAGAGCAGGGGCAGGAGTGACCTTCACTTAGGTCACTTCCTGACTTCAGGAGCATAATAATCGTGCCATTTTGGTGTTCTCCTTGGGTGAAATTCACCCCTGCATGCAGACAGCCAGTACCCGGCCATGACACGACCTAAATCCACTGACACCCTCAAAATAGAGCTTCAGGGGAACACGAAGCCGTGCACTGGGGTGAATTGCACCCTTGCTATGGATTAGTGCAGGACTACGTGGAGCATGACAGAGTTCCTTGAAAAAATAAGTCCCTGATCTTGCCCCCATGAGCAGACCACTGTACCAGTGCTAAGCCCCCAGGGACCCAATGCACAGAGCAACTTGCAGAGCCATGACTTAAGCAAGCTCAACATTCTCAGACACTTGGAAATTATATTAAATCGGACACCATCACTGATAAATTAGGGTACGTCTTCACTACCCACCGGATCGGCGGGTAGTAATCGATCTATCGTGGATCGATTTATCACGTCTCATCTAGACGCAATAAATTGATCCCTGAACGCGCTCCCCATCAACTCTGGAACTCCACCCGAGCGAGAGGCGGAAGCGGAGTCGACGGGGGAGCGGCGGCCGTTGATCCCGCGCCACGAGGACGCGAAGTAAGTCGATCTAAGATACGTCGACTTCAGCTACGCTATTCTCATAGCTGAAGTTGCGTATCTTAGATCAATCCCCCCCCCCCGCCAGTGTAGACCAGCCCTAAGATACCATGATTCACTAAATCAGACAGTATCGGATGCTTCCAAGGCTGCACCCAACACACACCATTTCCAGGCTGGCTTCTGGACACGCCAACAAATACCGTAAATAACAAGGGGAGCAGTTTCCAAAGGCTACACTCACTTGTCTTCCCTTTGACGGCCATTGACTCCCGGCGGGCGTCCGCGTAGACCGCCAGGACCGTGAAGGAATAGTTCGTGTCGGGCTTCAGGTCTGACACCAGCACGGTGCTTTTGTTGCCATCCAAAACAATCTGTCACAGACAAGAGAAGAGAGGCGTTTAGCCGGCTGCTGTTGGGCAAAGCAGGCTCCGAGGAGTTCCGCAACGAGCCATGCAGATCTGGAAGGACGGTGCTAGAATGCCGCTCAGGAGTTCAAGCATTTTGACAGCAGGATCTATTCCCTTTGATTTGGCTGGGCATCGGAAGGGGATTTTCCCTCTCTACACTTACAGCCAAGGATGTAAACGCCATGAAGGGGAAGCCATTACAAAGGAGAACCTGGTTTGATCCAAGGCCGCATCCTCAAGTCAGTGGGAGACGTTCCATTAATGTCAAAGGCCTTTGGATCTGAAGCCAGGGGATGAAATTGGTAAGCGAAAAATGTAGGCTGAATATTTATTTCTGAGTTTTATTCGGATAGAAAAACTCTCCAGAGCAGTCTGTCTCTTGCTATGTGCATGTACAGCTCCTAGCACAATGAGGCCCGGTTCTCGGTTGGGGCTACTGTAGCGTAAATATTAATAACTATCAAGGTAACACTGAATGCTGGACCAGAATCTGCTACTCTTACCCTGAGACGTCCCTTACTTTGTGAGTGGGCCCACTGAAATCAAACGCTATGTAGAGTACCGCTCATTGTGAGTTGGGGTGGTGGCATCTGGGCCGATGAGATGAGAGATTACTATTGTTTACTGGCTACGCGCCGGTAGCGTGCTCCGTACTGCCCCGATGCCCCAAAGACTGGAAGCAGAAGAGCGAGCGTGTTACAAGGAAGTGGGCTGTTCTCACGTTCTACCCATTAGAAGACTGGAAACACCAGGATGCCTCTGAGAGAGCCTGCTCATGAGATTTCCAGCCTCAGCTCCAGACCAAGGAATCAGGGTGATTCGGGACAGAAAAGAGCAATTCGATTAACCCTGCCCCTCTCCCGCCAGCACAGAGGTAATAGGTGGCCTTGATGGCTGTAATTATGGCTCCCTCTAGTGGCCGGCCACGGAGATGAGACGCGCCTTCTACATACCCACAGTTAACGGAGCTGCTGCTTTAACTCAAGTGGCTGTGCTGTGGGTGCTGAACGCCCCCAATTCAATTCCCACCACCGTCTGCGTGTGTGGACGTGATTCACTACCCGTGTGGGGTGAAGAGCTGAACTTCTGAGTGCTGATCCACCCTAACCAGACCCCTGAACTATACAAATTGGGATCCTGGCCAATCGCTAGCCTGGATGGCCCAGTGGCTCCGGGTGTTGGCCTGGCCCTTGAGAAACTGGGGGTCAGTTCCCTGTTCTGCCCCAGATTCCCTCTGTGACCTGGAGTGAGTCACCTAGCCTCTCTGTGCCTCAGTTCCCCATCTGTATAATGGGGATACTAGCCCTGCCCTGCCTCACTGGGGTGTTGTGAGGACACACGCGTTGCAGATTGGAAAGTGCTCAGATACTACAGTAACACGAGCCACACGAGTATTTCTATCGTGCTTGGGAGCCACAGCCATAGATCAAGACCTCCGGGTGCTAGGTGCTGCACAAACGCAGAACAAAAAGATGGCCCCAAAAGATAAGCTGATGCTTGAACATGGCAAATCCACATCTTGAATTAAAGTGGTTATAAATCAGCATTGCAATCATCCCCCTGACCCTCGAGGTATTTTCCATCCATTGAAATGAGAAAGATCTTACAGCTGGACACGACAGGGTCTTCCCCCAATGCACCCTCCCCGCCTTTGGGCTAAGGCCCACTCTCAATGGGGCAGCACCAGCATCCCTGGGAGCAGAATCTGGCCCATTACCAACAGACATAGCAAGCACCCCTGTGCCCCACTCGTAAAGTGCAGCCTCTTCTAGTGGAAGCGGTTTGATCCTGCACCAGGACAGCGCAGCCCAGCCCCTTGGTCTTCTGCAGAGGAGGATTAAGATTTATTGGGGCCCTGGGCAGAAAGAACATTTTAGCTCCTTAGTCCCTCCCTCACCATGAGGCCCCGCCCTCTGCACCTCCCCTTCCCCCTAAGGCCCTGCCACCTGGCCAGGCCAGAAGCCAGAGCCGGGCCATGGTAAGAGCTGCCCAGGGAGCCCAAGCCGCTGTGGGGAGCCTCGGAACCTCCACCTGCCCAGGCGGGGTTGCCAGGCGTCCAGTTTTCAACCAAACACCTGGTCAGAAAGGGACCCTCCCCAACGCTCCCCAGCCTGGTGAAAATGAGTGAGTGAGTGAGTGAGGGTGCGGGAGAGCAAGCGACAGAGGGGGGGGGGTGGAGTGAGCAGGGCAGGGCCTCAGACAAGGGGCGGGGCAAGGGTGTTCGGTTTTGTTCGGTCAGAAAGTGGGCAACGTGTCCTGCCCTGGGACATTGGCCAAGATGGCAGCCATCACACTCAGAGTCTCTGAAAATCAGAGGATGGCAAACATTCCATGTGCCAAACTCAGGGAAAGGAGGATGTCTACCTGCCGCTGGTCTTCAGAAATAAGCTGCCCGGTAGTGGAAACTGAATTCAGGAGGAGGTGGTATTCCGTCACTTTCCCTGTGGCAGGAGTCCAGGTCAGCCTCAAAGAGCTGTAACTTTGTTCGCTGACAAGTAAATCCCGGGGACCAACGATCTTCTCCACTAAAAGCAGGTGGGGAAATAAAACTCCATGATTTGGGTTGTTAGAGACGCTGCAGGACAGGCCTCCTGGGAGGGCCTCTATTAACAAAATTGCCATTCCCCTTCCAGAGATAGCCTTAAAAAGAAAACATTAGCCAAAGCAAACCAACTGGTAAGACTGAAGGGGACCAGCAGCTGGGCTCTAGATCTGTGCCAGGATCTAAATATCTCACACATACCCCTATGGAGCAGTCCTAGAGAATTGATATGGGATGACTCATCTCCTCCTGTCGCTCCTCTCTTGAGTGCCAGTGTTGTGATCCAGCGTCACCATAGTGACCATAGTGTGGTCACTGCCCTCTGAATGACAAACCAGATGTAGACATCATAGAAGCATAGAATATCAAGGTTGGAAGGGACCTCAGGAGGTCATCTAGTCCAACCCCCTGCTCAAAGCAGGACCAATCCCCAACTAAATCATCCCAGCCAGGGCTTTGTCAAGCCTGACCTTAAAAACCTCTAAGGAAGGAGATTCCACCACCTCCCTAGGTAACCCATTCCAGTGCTTCACCACCCTCCTAGTGAAAAAGTTTTTCCTGATATCCAATCTAAACCTCCCCCACTGCAACTTGAGATCATTGCTCCTTGTTCTGTCATCTGGTACCACTGAGAACAATCTAGATCCATCCTCTTTGGAACCCCCCTTTAGGATAGTTGAAAGCAGCTATCAAATCCCCCCTCATTCTTCTCTTCTGCAGACTAAACAATCCCAGTTCCCTCAGCCTCTCCTCATAAGTCATGTGCTCCAGCCCACTAATCAGTTTTGTTCCCCTCCACTGGACTCTTTCTTAAGTCAACCTGAAACTTTTTTTTTCTTTTTGGTTCGGCCACAAAACTGAAAACTCAGTTATTCACCCCAATGGACTTCAGTGGGCATCATACCAGGCCCTGGGATAGAGGCAAATCCTGTTCCCTGGATGGGGTGAAGCTAATATCCCAGGCAGGGCTTCCAGCCACAGGCAGCTACTAGCCCTCATCTCCTGCTGTCGCTCCTCTCTTGAGTGCCAGTGTTGTGATCCAGCGTCACCATAGTGACCATAGTGTGGTCACTGCCCTCTGAATGACAAACCAGATGCACTGGCGGCTGGCTGCTTTCTAAGAGTATGTCTACACTGAAATTAACCCCCCGACGCTGGCCCGTGTCAGCTGCCACGGACTCGCGGGGCTTGGGCTACGCGGCTGTTTAATTGCAGTGTAGACATCATAGAATCATAGACTATCACGGTTGGAAGGAACCTCAGGAGGTCATCTAGTCTAACCCCCTGCTCAAAGCAGGACCAATCCCCAACTAAATCATCCCAGCCAGGGCTTTGTCAAGCCTGACCTTAAAAACCTCTAAAGAAGGAGATTCCACCACCTCCCTAGGTAACCCATTCCAGTGCTTCACCACCCTCCTAGTGAAAAAGTTTTTCCTGATATCCAATCTAAACCTCCCCCACTGCAACTTGAGACCATTACTCCTTGTTCTGTCATCTGCCACCACTGAGAACAGTCTAGATCCATCCTCTTTTGAACCCCCTTTCAGGTAGTTGAAAGCAGCTATCAAATCCCCCCTCGTTCTTCTCTTCTGCAGACTAAACAATCCCAGTTCCCTCAGCCTCTCTTCATATGTCATGTGCTCCAGCCCTCTAATCATTTTTGTTCCCCTCCACTGGACTCTTTCTTGAGTCAACCTGAAACTTTTTTTTTCTTTTTTAGTTCGGCCACAAAACTGAAAACTCAGTTATTCACCCCACTGGACTTCAGTGGGCATCATACCAGGCCCTGGGGTAGAGGCAAATCCTGCTCCATGGATGTGGTGAAGCTAATATCCCAGGCAGGGCTTCCAACCACAGGCAGCTACTAGCCCTCATCTCCTGCTGTCGCTCCTCTCTTGAGTGCCAGTGTTGTGATCCAGCGTCACCATAGTGACCATAGTGTGGTCACTGCCCTCTGAATGACAAACCAGATGTAGACATTATAGAATCATAGAATATCAAGGTTGGAAGGGACCTCAGGAGCTCATCTAGTCTAACCCCCTGCTCAAAGCAGGACCAATTCCCAACTAAATCATCCCAGCCAGGGCTTTGTCAAGCCTGACCTTAAAAACCTCTAAGGAAGGAGATTCCACCACCTCCTTAGGTAACCCATTCCAGTGCTTCACCACCCTCCTAGTGAAAAAGTTTTTCCTAATATCCAACCTAAACCTCCTGCACTGCAACTTGTGACCATTTCTCCTTGTTCTGTCATCTGGTACCACTGAGAACAGTCCAGATCCATCCTCTTTGGAACCCCTTTACAGGTAGTTGAAAGCAGCTATCAAATCCTCCCTCATTCTTCTCTTCTGCAGACTAAACAATCCCAGTTCCCTCAGCCTCTCCTCATAAGTCATATGCTCCAGCCCCCTAATCATTTTTGTTGCCCTCCGCTGGACTCTTTCCAATTTTTCCACATCCTTCTTGTAGTGTGGGGCCCAAAACTGGACACAGTACTCCAGATGAGGCCTCACCTGTGCCGAATAGAGGGGAGTGATCACATCCCTCGATCTGCTGGCAATGCCCAAGCAGCTCCAGCCTGAGCCTGGGCTCTGGGACCCCATGAGTGGGGAGGGTCTCACAGCTGGGCTGCAGCCCAAGCCCAAACATCTGCATCACAATTGAACAGCCCTGTAGCCTGAGCCCCACGAGTCTGAATCAGCTGAAATGGGCCAGCCCCAGGGTATAAATGCTGTGTGGACAAACCCTACGGGTCGCACATGCCCTAAAAGTCCATCGATGTGAATAAATGGGATGCAGGAGAGGAAGTCTAATGGGATGTAGGAGCCTCCCCAGAGAAAGGGGCTGATTCAACCTAACAGAAAATAAGAGTAGGCAGGGGCCCAGACTCACTGTTCATAGCCGGCCTGGTGGGGCGCGGAGGCTCGGAGGCCGTGACACAGAGCCTTCGAGAGAGCTTAGGGGACACGTTCCCCAGCAAGTGGAAATCTTCAGTGTAAAGCACATGCTCCTCGGCGGGCGTGGAAGCTAGTTTCCTCAGCTCGTTCCTGTCGGCATTCTTAATTCCTAAAGGTGCGGGGGTGGGGAAAGGAAGGGAAAACAAGAGGCCTGATTCGCCATTGCCTTCTACCGGGCGTCGCCATTTACAGCTTCCTGCAAAGCGGAGCAGAGAATCAGACCCAGTGTTCAGAGGTGTATTCCCATGGCGTAGATGCATTCCCTTGGGGGATTTCCCTTTGCTGTGTATTCCCTTGGGGGATACGCGATATTTTGTAGTGTATAGCCCTTGGTCTATGCAGTATTCTATGGTGTAGATCCTATAGTGTATGTAGCACGCATTCGTGTGCACTCCACCATGTATACACAAAACACAACGTCTTCATTTCTACCATACCTACCCACAGCAAACACGGTCACGCCTCTGTCCTGTAGCGCCACAGCCGCATCTTCAACAGAATCGGCAGATTTCCCATCTGTGATTAAAACAACGATCTGCAAGGAAGGAGAGCCACAGCCAGGTAACCAGGGTGTCCAACGTGGGCAATTTGCGCCACATACTGCGATTGACCGCCGTGCTGTACCGGCGGATGAGGCGCATCCTCGGAGAGCCCGGCAAGGAAGGAGCCAGGCTGATGACCCTGGAAAGGGGAGTCTGCTGCTTCTCCACGGAATAGGAATCGCATCCATGCAAGCTTCCTTCCCCGCACCTTCTACTGCCCAGCTAGTGCATCTCAGACACCAGGACCGTGGCCCACTGTCCTGAGACCAGCAATGAGCCATCAGATGGTTACCACTCTAAGCCACTATCAACCAGGGCCAGATCAGAAACAGAGGCTGGAGTGAGCGGCTCTGTACCCCACTGCTCACTCCTCGGTGCCACCTTGATAGCAACCTCCTTGTAGCAGTCAGCTGAGAAGAATGGGCCAGACAGGCCGCGCAACGTTCCCTTTGCCCGGTCTCTTGTGGGTCTGCAGAGCAAACAAGAACTACTGTGTCTTAATTTGAGGCTTTTCAGAATTCAAAGTCCCTAGCAGGGAAAGGAATATGCAGCATTTCAATTTGGGGAAGCGGGTGACCCAGTCAGAAGAGGGCTTCTTTAATAAGAAATTACAGCGGTACCCGATTTCATTGCTGCTCTGCCATGCTGGGCTACATGTTCTCCAAGGAGACCCTCCAGGAACACACAATCCATTCACCATGTCAGCTGTTCTTCACGTAACCGGCCCTAACACAGGGTGACTCTTTGTCCCCCTCTAGAGGCTAAGCCATGTATAGAGGTTCCTGAGTCTGCTACTGCCATCAAGCTAGCAAAGCTGTTCCTTTAGCTCAAGCAGTCAAGGCTCATGCTCTTAGATGCAGAAGTCCTGAGTTCAACCCCATGACCATGTGGGGCAGACTGACCTTTGCTGCATCTCCTCTTGCTGCTGCCGGACTGAAGACCACATGGGCCACAAACGCCAGGGCATCCCCTGTTTTTACACTGCCCCCTTGGAACGAGAGCTCCCTGACGGCCACCAGCACCTCCTCAATGGTGACGTAATCCGTCAACTCGATACTCATCCTGGGAGCAGGAAGAAAAGGGGGGCACGAAAGAGAGTGTTTATTTTGCATCCCCCGTGAATCACAGTAGAGATCATACAACACAACATCTAAAGGCATAGGCCAGCACTCCAAACCTCAGCTCCTTCTGAGAGGAGAGGGCACGTAGGGTCAGTGAAAGGACATCACAGGTGGATACGCCAGCTCTCTTTGCTCCCCTTCTTCCCACTGAAATGTCATGCCACTGAATGAGGGATATTGATCTCCAGGGGTGGGGCCCAGGGGGTAAGGCAGCTACCACTAGTACCAGTCAAACATGGTGGAGTCTCCAACCCAGACAATTTTTAAATCAAGGGTGGATGTTTTTCTACAAGATCTGCTCTAGGAATTATTCGGGGGAAGTTCTCTGGCCTGCGTTACCCAGACGATCCCAACAGTCCCTTCGGGCCTTGGAATCTATGACTCTAAGGGTCTGTCTACCAAGCAATTCAACGCCCACAGCTGGCTCATGGCAGCTGACTCAGGCTCACAGGGCTGTAAAATGGCGGTGTAGACATTCGGGCTCAGGCACCTACACCGCCATTTTACAGCCCCACGTGGGCGTGCGAAATAACCGAGCTGAATCCAAAAAGCTTTATTAAACTCTACGGAGGGTGATGGTGCTTTCCAGCACGCAAGCCCACTGGGACTGGTTCTCCTCAATCGGATGCCGGTTCTATGTCAACGCAACTCCACTGGCTTCACCAGGAAGGGAGATGACGAAGAGGCTACGAATGCCATTGCCTGTATGCATGGAACTGAGGGCAGCATTGGGAAGCTTCCCCAAACCAGTTTTACTGGGACAAGGGACACCCCCCTTGCTGGCTCTGAGCCAGATTTTTAGACGGATTCAGGCCCCTGACTCCCACTGAATTCAGTTTGAGGAAACCTGTGAGGATCTGGGCCTTTGTCACCCCCATCCAGCAGGCTGCAGATCGGAACTTGGAAAATACACGAGAAGCCCAACCCTTAAATAATCATGTCAACTACCAGCACACGATCGCTGTGTCTTTGCTGTGTAAGGATCTAGGGTATGGTCATCCTCCATTTTGGAAGTGGGGGGCGTATTTGGATGGCAGAGGGACGGTTCCAGGCTTCAGCTTGTAGCTGAATCTCATTGCTGAGTTATGGAATAGCCAAATGAAAGTAATCATTCAATATAAGCTCTCCAAGCCTTCAAACACCACCGCCAGAGCTAGGGGTGCATAAGATTGCCCATAGGCAGACCAGATGTCCTGATTTTATAGGGACAGTCCCAATATTTGAGGCTTTGTCTTATATAGATGCCTATTACCCCTCACCCTCTTCCCAATTTTTCACACTTGCTGTCTGGTCACCCCAGTTGCCCATCACCATGGCATCTGGCGAGGCCTCAGACCAAGCCCCAGTATTTTTAAATGCACCTTTCCTGTTTTAAATTTGAATGCGCCTTTCAATGGATTATGATTCACATACATCCACTCCAGCCTCACTGCCAGACAGAGGTGGGACATAGAGACTCTCTGTGTTGATAGGAAATGAAGGTTTTTCCTACCTTGGCTTCTCTGCGTAGAGCGCCACTCCCAGCCGAACACCCTCTCTGCCCATTACCACGTTCTCAAAGGAGAGGACCACACTGTAGATGAAGTCTTTGATCAGCCGGAAGTTCCCTTCCCCCACGCTCCAGGACTCACCCACCAGGAACAAGATGTCAGCCACCTCCGCCGTCCCACACGCTGCGGGGAGAAGAACAGAGTGGCTGCGTGGGCTGAGAGGCTGATTCTGGTCCACAGAGCTTGTAACGGACCAGCTAGCATATAAACCATCTGAGGGAACGTCAGCGCTGCGGGGTCACGTAACTCCCCCAACGATACTGCAGCCAAAGGAGGCAGAAATCAGAACCTGGCCCAGGTAGACAAACCCTGTGCAACTCTCTCCATCTTAGGTAATGACATGGCTGCCGTCACCATAGCATCTGAGCGCCTCACAGTCTATCAGTGGTCTCGCTGGGGAACTGAGGCACAGACAGACTAAGGCCTACATCTTCCAAAGGTACTTTGGCACCTAATTGCCATTGAGTTCGTTGGTGATCTCGGTCCAGAAGGGTTCATGGTATTGCTTTAAGAATCTGAACCTAAATTACCAGCCTGAGGTCACATAGGGAGGCCTGTGGCAGGGCAAGGAATTGAACCTAGCACTCCCACTGGGCCATCCTTTCTCTCTCATATCAATAATCGGACAGGCACCGACTTCCTCTGTTCCTGGGGGGTGCTCAACCCCCACTCCGTTCCAGGCCCCGCCCCCACGCCACCCCTTCCCCCAAGCCCCCACCCCACCTCTGCCCAGGCCCTACCCCCACTCCACCCCTTCCCCAAGCCCCCACCCCACCTCTGCCCCAGGCCCTGCCCCCACTCTGCATCTTCTCCCAAGCTCCCACCCCACCTCTTCCCACCCCCGCTCTGCGCCAGGCCCTGCCCCCACCCCACCTCTTCCCACCCCTGCTCTGCCCCAGGCCCTGCCCCCACTCCATCCCTTCCCCAAGCCCCCACCCCACCTCTTCCCACCCCCGCTCTGCGCCAGGCCCTGTCAGGGTCACACGGGGCTTAAGAAAAACAGAATTGGGATCAGTGTGTAAATCACTAAATTTCATTTTTCATGCCTTGTACCTTACATGAGAAGCCTTTGTGGAAGGAGTGGGTAACATAAGAACAGCCAGACTGGGTCAGACCAAAGATCCATCTAGCCCAGTATCCTGTCTACCGACAGTGGTCAATGCCAGGTGCCCCAGAGGGAGTGGCTCTAACAGGTAATGATCAAGTGATCTCTCTCCTGCCATCCATCTCCATCCTTTGACAAACAGTCTAGGGACACCATTCCTTACCCGTCCTGGCTAATAGCCATTAATGGACTTAACCTCCATGAATTTATCCAGTTCTCTTTTAAACGCTGTTATAGTCCTAGCCTTCACAACCTCCTCAGGTAAGGAGTTCCACAAGTTGACTGCGCCGTGTGAAGAAGAACTTCCTTTTATTTGTTTTAAACCTGCTGCCTATTAATTTCATTTGGTGACCCCTAGTTCTTGTATTATGGGAATAAGTAAATAACTTTTCCTTATCCACTTTCTCCACATCACTCATGATTTTATATAACTCTATCTTATCCGCCCTTAGTCTCCTCTTTTCCAAGCTGAAAAGTCCTAGCCTCTTTAATCTCTCCTCATATGGGACCAGTTCCAAACCCCTAATCATTTTAGTTGCCCTTCTCTGAACCTTTTCTAGTGCCAGTATATCTTTCCTTTTCTTTTTTTTTTTCTTCTTCTTCTTCTTCTTTTTTGAGATAAAGAGACCACATCTGTACGCAGTATTCAAGATGTGGGTGTACCATCGATTTATATAAGGGCAATAATATATTCTCCTTTTTATTCTCTATCCCCTTTTTAATGATTCCTAACATCCTGTTTGCTTTTTTGACCGCCTCTGCACACTGCATGGACATCTTCAGAGAACTACCACAATGACTCCAAGATCTTTTTCCTGATTCGTTGTAGCTAAATTAGCCCCCATCATATTGTATGTATAGTTGGGGTTATTTTTTCCAACGTGCATTACTTTACATTTATCCACATTAAATTTTGTGAGATCTTTTTGAAGTTCTTCACAGTCTGCTTTGGTCTTAATTATCTTGAACAGTTTAGTATCATCTGCAAACTTTGCCACCTCACTTTTTAGCCCTTTCTCCAGATCATTTATGAATAAATTGAATAGGATTGGTCCTAGGACTGACCCTTGGGGAACACCACTAGTTACCCCTCTCCATTCTGAAAATTTACCATTAATTCCTACCCTTTGTTCCCTGTCTTTTAATCCATGTTCTCAATCCATGAAAGGACCTTCCCTTTTATCCCATGACAACTTAATTTACGTAAGAGTCTTTGGTGAGGGACCTTGTCAAAGGCTTTCTGGAAATCTAAGTACACTATGTCCACTGGATCCCCCTTGTCCACATGTTTGTTGACCCCTTCAAAGAATTCTAATAGATTAGTAAGACACGATTTAGCTTTGCAGAAACCATGTTGACTTTTGCCCAACAATTTATGTTCTTCTATGTGTCTGACAATTTTATTCTTTACTATTGTTTCAACTAATTTGCCCGGTACCGACGTTAGACTTACCGGTCTGTAATTGCCGGGATCACCTCTAGAGCTCTTTTTAAATATTGGCATTACATTACCTATCTTCCAGTCATTGTGTACAGAAGCCGATTTAAAGGACAGGTTACAAACCATAGTTAATAGTTCTGCAACTTCACATTTGAGTTCTTTCAGAACTCTTGGGTGAATGCCATCTGGTCCTGGTGACTTGTTTAATGTTAAGTTTATCAATTAATCCCAAAACCTCCTCTAGTGACACTTCAATCTGTGACAGTTCCTCAGATTTGTCACCTACAAAAGCCGGCTCAGGTTTGGGAATCTCCCTAACATCCTCAACCGTGAAGACTGAAGCAAAGAATTCATTTAGTTTCTCCACAATGACTTTATCGTCTTTAAGCGCTCCTTTTGTATCTCAACCATTGAGGGGCCCCACTGGTTGTTTAGCAGGCTTCCTGCTTCTGATGTACTTAAAAATCATTTTGTTATTACCTTTGGAGTTTTTGGCTAGCCGTCCTTCAAACTCCTCTTTGGCTTTTCTTATTACATTTTTACACTTAATTTGGCAGCGTTTATGCTCCTTTCTATTTACCTCACTAGATTTGACTTCCACTTTTAAAGGATCTCTTTTTATCTCTCACTGCTTCTTTTACATGGTTGAGGGCCACAGCTGAACTGTTTGAGCCTGAGTGATTCTTTTAATCCCAGAATAACAAGACTTTGCTATTCCCGTTTTAACTGGCATTGGTATTTGCAATGTTCCCGTGAATCAAGAGATCCTCTGGGGAAGTCAAAGCCAAATTCTGTGGATTCCCTTTCCCGGAAATCTCAACATGAGTTGTCAGAGAGAGGGGCCTGTCCCTTTCCCAATTCCCACGCCCCAACCCTTTTCAATCTATCCATCATCCACATTCTCCGGAGAGGATGGGCGAAGATTTAAAAGCAAAAGAAGAGGGTGCTGTGGTTTGAAAAATCAGCCTGCAATTGGTATACAAAAGCACCGAGCACACTGGGTACTACATGCAATACAAATAGCTCCCACGGGGGGCTTTTCACCTTTGGCACCAATCCTGCAAACACATATACACATAGGCCTAAGCGTCTGTAGGATCGGAGCCTTTGCTACCTACAGGGTAGGTAATCCTGTCATCATTACTTACAGCGTATGTCTGCACTGGAGCTGGAGGTAGGTTTCAGACAGGATTGTGCTTGAGGTGGCTAACCCATCCTGCCACTCACACAGCCGTAATGATGCTGCTATTTTTAGCACGCTAGTTCCACCAGAGCTAGTGTGGGTACGTCTGCCTGAGGTGGAAATTACCCCTTCAGCTCCCTGTGGGTGTAGACACACCCACGCAGACAGTCAGTGCTCTGCAAGGGGCCTGAATCTCCACTGCCTTCCTTGAACTGTCATTTACCCCAGGCGGAGCAGCTGTAGGCTGTTACCATCCTCATTTGCATCCACTTTGCACAGATGGATCTGACCACTCAAGGCAGATCAGTCCTGAATAGCGTCACTGAAATCCTCTCTGTCAGGGGGCAGCGGCAGGTCAGAATTCTGTTGTGAATAACAGTAAGTGCATACACCGTGAGCCAGCACGCCCCCGTGTGGACGGGTGCAGTGTTCCAGATGAGCCTTTACTTAATTTGCCCCTCATCCAGGGGATCAGCAAGTGCAAACAGCCAGTTACGTGCGAGAGAGCCCCTCCTTTCAGAGAGTCTCATTTGTCAACAGAAAAGCCAATGCAGAACCATGACTAAAACGTTAACCCCAACGTCCCAGTGGGGTGACCGGGTCATTCTTCAGCCATGTCCCCCACCTGAGTCCACCGATCATCTCTACCTGGTATCCCTCCAATGCTCTCTTGGTTCCAGTCTCTTGCCCCTACCGGAGTAACATCCTTCTCTGGAGGCCCAGGTCCGGGGAGGTCTGCGTGCTGTGACGCATCTCCAGGGACAGCGGGCGATCCTTGCCAGGCCGGGCTTCCAGCCAACGTCTGGGGATGAGTGGTAAAGCCCTCTGACTAGGAGGCTCCCCTCTCCGGGGGCGCCTCTTACAGGCTCCCCATCCTGGTAGGTTCCCCAGGTTCGAGGCTCCCTGTTCTGCCCTCTGCCTCCGGCCTCCCTCAGTCTCCTCTCTCCCTTTGGAGTTCACGCTAACTGAGCTCCAGTAACCTTTATTAGGTCCAGGTGCTTCTTTAGTAATCAGTCCCCTGGGGCAGTCAATTACCCCCAGGTGGGACCCTCATAAGGCAGCCACAGGCAGGCTGGGCCCTAGCTCCCCATAAAGAGCAGCTGCCCCTTGACAAGGGCCCCTTCATACAGGGCCTTCAGAGCCATGCAGGACCAGGACCCAGCTTGGCACTGCAACTAGAGAGCATTCGGCCTGGTTGGGTCAGGCACCTGATGCTGTCTTTGAAAGCATGTGATGTTAAGCATATCTGGATTGGTGCCTTCTGGAGCAAATACCAACACAGACAGCTATATTAATCACAGGGGGATATGATTTTATTTGAAATTTTCCATGCACTTCCGAAATTACCCCGTTTCATCCATCAAAGGTTTGCCGGAGACATCTGTAAACGTTGATTTATTGCACTGTTCCAGGCTGCGAATTAAATAGCATTATAGTCAAAGATATTGGCTTAATTGACGGGCAGGAATTTAATCAAGTTAATTTTGCAGCCAATTCCTAAGCTACCATTAACCCCTTGCTGAATTTTCAGAAGGTTTCAGGCACGTTCTTAAAAGCTTAGAGCTCAATCCTGTCTGGCAAGCCCTGTGTTCCTCTTTGAATGTCTGCAGAGCACAGCATAGTCTAGCAGCTGGACCCTTATACCCAGCCGGGTCCTGGATTAGTCTGCCTGCAAGAAGCAGTTTGCAGGCCCTTATGGGCTTCCCAGGGACTGAATTTCAGCAGCAGAAAGTCACATCTACTTCAAACTACCCAGTCGTAGTGGCCCTTTTACCCCATATGGGTCATCAACAGGGTTTGAACCTACAGCCCTCAACCTCTCCAGCACAGAGCTTTACCATTTGAGCCAAGGGGCAATGCTACCAGCCAATTGCACTAGTAGGCTATTATCCTCTAGTGCACAGACACTAGAGACGTGCAAAACAAGCTTCAACAGTATGTTACGAAAGCAGATTTTTGGTGAACCCATTGCACCGATTCTAGTGTGCACGGAGTAGAAATATGCTCGCTGAGGTGCGGGGGGATAGGTAGTGAGAGACAGCCCGTTATGCTTTGTCCCATGCTGCTGATAGCACATAGACTAAAATCCTATCACCGTGGTACTGCAGTGCCTAGCGCCTGCCTCCTGTGCTGACCTAGCTGGACCTGACATTGGGGGGATGCAGGTGGGGCACAATGGGGAGCAAGCTTCCTCCTCGGTAGCTGAAGTAGCCTATGTAGGGCATTGTTACCGCCTCCCTCACCCTGGGGGGAGATGGGCGGACCCACATGGTGACAGTTCTCCTCCCTCACTCACATAGCTCCCCCCCCCCCCGACATCTTTCCCACCAGTTCCCCTCGACAAGGGCCTCTCCAGACACAGAGAGGTGGGCTAGACTCTGCAGAGATAATTCTCCACTGCCAATGTGCCTGGGGCGGTCACTTACACCTGTGCTGAGCGTAAAACACAAGCAGATCAGAGCAGTGGCGTGTCACGCCCATTTGCGCAGATCCAAGTGTCCGGGCAGTGCTCCCGCCCACTGACACGCAGTTCTTGGGATTACTTTTTAATGCCATACGTGGGGCCAAAGAAAATATCAGAGGGGAGATTGTGGCTGATGGAAAGAGAGGGAGCAGATGAGACCTTGTGCCATTTTGATCCCCTAACTGGCCCTGTGTGGCATTAAGAAAAGCCAGCGGAAAACAAATGCAAACCCCAAGGTTGTCTGCTTGGTGGCTGACAAACGCAGATGGACACTGACTGAGTCTAACTAATAGAGATCAGGATGAGAACTATGCGGGGGGCAGGGGTTACGGTGGGATTCTTACATCTTCCTCTAAAACATCTGGCACTGGGCAATATCAGAGACAGGATGAACCATGGGACCAATACAACCTGGCACTTCCCACAATTCACAGTTCACATGTCTTGGCTTAGTAGCTACGATCCTATCTGTGGCTGGCTGCAAAGACTATTTAGCCTGCTAGCGTCCAGTGACAATGGCCTGTGATCTTGATGCTAGAGATCCCAGGTTCAAGCCCCACCAGTGCCCCCAAGTAGCTTCCGTTCATTACACTAGCAAATACAGCCACCTGGAAAAGACATTAACTTCTCTGCCATGAGCATTAGCTACCCTGCTTTTGGTTCTGTTGGACACAGCACGGGACACACGTACCTTCATGCGGAGCCAAGGCTTCAGACTGCGCCAAGAGGGCTGCTAGCGTAAGTATCTTGGCATACAACAATCTCATCTTCCTAGGGCAGAAACTCCTCCTAGGTCACCAGAGTTATTGCACAAGCCGAACATTGATGTGTCTGGAAGAGAAAACAGGGCTTAATGCAAATATAACGCTGGTGAAGAGTGAAATCATCTAGTGCTCCACAAGACAATGGGGCAGTATTAGCTTCCTTCACCCAGCCCAGTCCATGGGCCTCAGTATTCACTTAGCCAGATGACTGCTAAGAGTGAGCAGTCTTTGGCCTCTTACATCCTTACCCTCCGGCTGAGACAGCCAAGGGATACCTGTCCCCCAAGGAGCTGGGAGGAGAACTACCAACTCGTTTCACTTGTGCCTCCAAACAGGCACCAGATTTAACACCACTTGGAGAAACATTTTTCAGACGCATCCACTACATTTTGGAGCCCCAACTTGAGACGTCCTGATTTTCTGAATGCCCAAGCAACTGCAGCTACTGGAGGGATATAAAACCTTCGGCTTCAGGGCACAAGTGCCTCGCTAACTAATGGGGTTCGGAAACACTTCCCCTAGGGCAGGGGTTCTCACCCTTTTTCTTTCTGAGGCCCCCCCAACATGCTATAAAAACCTCCATGGCCCACCTGTGCCACAACAGCTGTTTTGTCTGCATATCCAGTAGATTAAAAGCCAGGGCTGGTGTTGGGGGATAACAAGCAGGGCAAATGCCTGTGGCCCCACACCACAGGGGCCCTGCAAAGCTGAGCTGCTCGGCCTTTAGCTTCAGCCCCCTTGGGTTCGGCTTTCTGCCCTGAGCCCCAGGGAGTCAAACGTCAGCCCTGCTCTCTGGTTTATTTTGGCAGCCCCCCCTGAAACCTGCTCATGGTCTCCTAGGAGGTCCCGGACCCCTGGTTGAGAACCGCTGCCCTATGGGAAGGTTGCTCCATAACTCAAACTTTCTTGCACCTTCCATGGAGACATCTGGTGCGGGCCACCGTCAGAGACAGGACACTGGCCTAGATGGACCTCACATCAGATCCAGGATGACAGCTCCTACGTCACTTTAATTAATAACCTTCTCCTTCAGGCCGAGGGCAAACAGGAGTCATTTCATGCCCAGCGGTGAATGTTACGTGTGTGTAGGAAAGGGGTGTTAGAACAGAACTCTTTTGCAACCCTTCTTGCACCAGTTGCTCTAATAGGAAGGAAAAGTCTGGGCATGTTCAAAGCACAAAAGTCAATGTGAGATCGGAGCATACAGCAGCTTCCTACACGACACACTCAGCTTCTCATTAGACTAATTTACAGCTAACCTTTGGGTTCCTCAAGCTTGTAGCTTGAGAACTGCTCTAATTAGCAGTTTTCCACACAGCCCCTGCAACTTTCCCTCGTCATTGTGCTGTGGACCTGGAAAACACTTGTTACTGTCCATGTGTGACATACACAATCCATAGCAAATGCTGATAGCTCATTAAGGCTACAGGGTCCTCGCTCTAACTGCAGCATTGCCAGAAGGGGTTTTATTCTTTCTTAAGGGACGATAGGATATCCTCTCCTATTTTGAGCTTCTCCTCAATGTCCCAGACTGAATGGACTCCACAGGTGTCACTACGGGCAACTTCCAGGAAATCACAGCCCCTAGAGAAAGAAAAGCCCTAATACATCATTCAGCCCAGCTATCTGCCAGTGCAGGACGTTCCCTACAGTAAATAACCTGCCATCACTGAGCTACATTAGTACCTAATAAAGGTGCTGATTCCTCTTGGGAAAACCTCTTGGGTTTTTTCCGTGCACAACCTTGGGGTTTCAGTCTAAAATGATTTGTTTCAGACGACGGAAAACAGCAAACAAGAAAGAACAAAAGTAAAGTATTGAGGTGGGTGCACGGGGTAGGGTGAGAGAGAGAGAACAGGTTGCAGCAATAACACGGCTGCTGTCTCTGGGCTAAAGGCTCAGCAAATAACTGATTTTTCAGTTCTAACAGAATCTGAAATTTTGGGGACTTGCTGATGAATTGAGAAAATCTGTTTCGGGTCTCAGGGGTTGAAACGTAAGTCCCTCAAATCCCAGGGGAGTGTCGCAAACCCTGGCTAATGGTTGTGAAGTGTTGTGGCAGCGGCAGCAGGTTCTTCTCCAGCCATTTTGGGAATGGCTGAAACCAGTTGTGTCAAATTCACAAATAGTTCCGGATTGACCAACACTGCATTTTTCATCACATAAACTATTAGTCTAAAAAACTTCGCTCCGCTCTACTGCAAGGACAAGCAGAGATCTTTAGAAATGTGCAGTCCACCCTGCGCACAGTCACCCCACTGGCCCAGCTAGACCAAAAACTTTGAACACTATTCTGTGTACAGACAACTCTGCTGTCCTTCGATGTGTTTTGTGTTTTTCTCTCCCCCCCCGCCCCGCACCATTTCTTGAAACTTGTGCATTAAATGTAGGTCTTTGTTGCCTAGCAGTGAGCCTGCTCCTACCCCTTATTCCTCATCTCCCATCATAATCCGTTCATGACACCACCATTAGTTGCTATGGAGACGGCTTGGATGTTAAAAAAAAAATCCTTCTGACACTTTTTATAAATTCCAATAAAGAATAAACAACAGGAGCGAACGAACTGCTAAGAACTAAACCTTCTACGGGGAAGTCACTGGGTTGGGACTTGGGAAACCCAGGTTCAATTTCCTGCCTTGTTACAGACTCATTGTGGCAAGTTTTTGTGCCTCGGTATCCCTTTTGTACCATGGGGCCCGTAACACTTCCCTTCGGTCTTGTCTATTTCGATTGTAAGCTCTTTAGGGCAGGGACACACTACGTGTTTGTAGAGCACCTAGTAAGATGGGGTCCTGATCTTAGCTGGGTTTCCGGGTGCTATTTTAATACCAATAATCATTTATGCCCCTCCAGAAAATACACAACACAGGCCTCGTTTTTCAGTGTTTCCCTGGGGCACCTATCTCCCCTCCACACATTTTTCTTCTCCAAAAATACAGTTCTAATGAGGGGACGTTTGGGGGCTAGAGGCCTCGCCCGCTGATCTGGGAGCGCCTGCATCTAGAATTGTGACCCCAAAAGTAACAGAACGTGTTCTTCAGTCAGTAACGTACATTACAACCTAGAAGTCAACTGAGTAACAAATCCACAGGCATCTCGGATTATCCGGTCATCGCAATGCTGCACGCCGGGGCCTCTCGGGATTTCCTGGTAACTGTGGGGATAGAGCTCATGCGCATCTGCCTCTAAAGCGTAGGCTGCTACATATGAGCTAACGGGGAAAAGCTCGTAGGAGGGAAGCGTTCCAAAAGCACCTAAGGGATTTGGACACAGAGGCGCTCCCTTGTGCAGTCAAATCCCTTAGGTAATTTTATAAACCTCTTCTTTAGACCCTGTACGGCTAGGACACCTAGCTGAGATGAACTCATTCCATCCAGCAATGGGCAGTGGTACATATATACACCAGCCAGTTCATTGTCATTTACTGTTCTAGTTACATCCTTATACTACATGTGGTACTTCGGTCCCCTACCTTAGAACACATCCCTGGCTGCCTTTAAAGGCAGAACGCCCCTATTACCTTACGGTAGCAGTCATCGATCCAGCTCATGTAACTTAATGAAGGAAAGTACGTACGTCTGGACGGCAGGCAGTGAACTAATGAGCTCCAATCATCCTGTCATTAAACTAGAGGCCAATGATTATCCTCAATCCATTCTGACCCTTCTGGAACCAGGTGGCATCCTTCGCAAAGCTAGCCTTTCCCCCCACCCCCTGTTGCATTTGTCATACTGTATTTGGTTAAATGCAAAATCCAGACCCTGTCTTACTATTTCATTTCCTTGGCTTGAATGGGACAAAAGCCTTATGTGCGAGCCGTTCCAGAGACCTCGCCTCTCAGAGGTGATAGTCTCCTGCGTAGCAGGTTTCAGAGGGGTAGCCGTGTTAGTCTGTATCAGCAAAAACAACGAGGAAGTGGGTCATAGCCTATGAAAGCTTATGCCCAAATAAATTTGTTAGTCTCTAAGGTGCCACAAGGACTCCTCGTTGTTTCTCCTGGGTAGGTTTTATTTTTAAACCCTTTTCTCGTTTTGCTTAGCACGGCCCTTAGCACAACGGGGTTCTGGTCCACAACTGGGGATCTGTATTGCAGATGCTTCTGTGATTCGATGAATCAATGGGAACAACAACAACAACAGCTCAAACCAGAACGCAAGGCACATTGAGGAACCAGGCCTGCGAGCTGTGCTTTGCCTCACAACACTCCAGTGATTAACTGTGCACAAATGAGCAAAGAGGAAAACGCATTGAAGGAGACGTTGACATCAGAATCCAAACGGCCACAAATGGAGGAAGGGAGGGAAGGACAACTTGTTCTCTAAGACTTGGGGTGGGATATAATATAAAGAGGATCAATAAACAGAGAAAAGTGAGCTCACCATTGGCGATTTCCCCAGACCCCAAAATCTTGGGGTGGCTCTGATGGGCCAGTTTGGGTGGAGGAGGAGCTCAGAGGGACAGAATGATATTTTATTTGTTAATAGGCAGGTTTACAAATTCAACACTCAGTTTCACTGTGTGGCTCACAGGAACAGTGTGGGGATAAGAGGAGTCCAAAATATAGATGCATGAAAAGAAACATCTAGAAAACCATAAGGCCAGCAGAAGAGTTTCCTTCCCACCCCCTGCCCCCTCCCCCCGCCCCCCCTTCCCCCATTTAAAAGGAAACAGGGTTTCTGCTGCTAGCCCACCACAAGGTAACAGCCTACTACTGCTGCTACTACAATCTAATGCATTTACTCCTTTGGCTCAAGTGGTAGCAATGCGGGGTATGGTGCTGAAGATCCCTGCTTCAAATCTTAGTCATGACTTAGGGGAAGCAGAAGTCAAACCTGAGTATTGCAGCATTATCTACTGCATAGAAGCATAGAATATCAGGGTTGGAAGAGACCTCAGGAGGTCATCTAGTCCAACCCCCTGCTCAAAGCAGGACCAAACCAAGCATGAGAACCAGGAAGTGAAAGTGATTAGAAAGAAAAGTGAATTTGACCGTTCTGTACTCATTAGCCAAGCTAAGAGAAATACAAAAAGTAAACAAACAGGGAAAGAAAGTTGGATGCTCTACAG